AGCTTCAGTCATTCACAGCAAGCGCCTTCCTCCAGAGTGTGCAGCTTCTCCGTTCATCCACTAGATGGCGCAACTGTCCCATCAAACTCTTTTAAAATGGGGGCAGCTTTCCTGAGCTTAAATGGGCCTCGCTGACCTTCTACCCTGAAGTTTGTAATTATGGAGAAAATGATTTTGACCTTCTTGCTGAACTAATCCTCACTGCTTTCTCTTTCTTGTGCTCAGGTCCCCCGCCTCCATACACCTACGACTACGAGATGTACCCTCCCTCGGCGCACCCCCCGCCTTACACTCCAACTCAGCCTCGGCCGGCCAACTACTCGCCCCCTCCTCCTTACCCCGGCTGCACCCGCAAGTGAATCCCCGCAGCGGAGATCAACCACCGGCCAGCTCGGGCCTTTAAAAGCTGTTGCTAACAGGGTTAAAGACAGTTTAAGGAACAGAAATCACCATATTTAATGGAAATAATAAGGCTGGCCCAGTGCAATATAATTCAGCAGGCCAAAACTCCCAGTCAATGCAATGTCACTTCCTGCTGCTTGGACCAAATGGCGGGGGAAATAAATAACACCTTTTTAACACAATGCAGGTCATGAGTACACTCCCACATTCTGACAGACTTAACCGTTCGCAGGCCTGCTAGCCTACGGCTGGTACTAATAACCAATATCCTTATCCGTCCCCGGCTGTGCACATCAAAGGCACCGCGCCGCTTTGATGAAGGTGAAGACCACTTTTTGTCAGCATGGAGGGGAACCTCGCATCACTGGAGGAGAGAAGTCTTTCCAGGACACAATGTAGACTTTTATTGGAATTTACCCACTTTTTTTTTTTTTTAACTTTAAAATTTCATGTCACTGACTGAGGTGGAATTTGATTTAAAGCTGTTTTTAAATAAGTCAGGTCTGGAGCGGTCACGTGTAGAAACAAAGACTTGAATATAATGCATTATAACAGTGATGGACAACTTGAAAAGGACCGGGTCGTTGGTGATGAACTGGTTTCTACTGCCTTACTTGAAACAATGTGAGGGTGAAAGCTGAACTGAGGGGGGGGTCAGGTCATATTCAGCTGAACCAAAGCGGGCTCTCTCTCTTTGAAATGGAAAATGTATTTGAAAATGTGTGATGCATTCACGGTTTAACGGTTAATTATTGTGACTGGAAGTGAACTGACCTCACTGTGCTATGACTGATTCCTGTGATGGATGACTGTGAAACGATGGAAGGGGTTGAACTGTTTTTTTTTTTGTTTTTTTAAATAATGTGTCAGGTAAATGATTTTGAAGTGTTTCCTGTCTGTTTGTAAATTAAAGATGTGATTAAAACGTTTTTAAAGTGTGAACAATGACGTCTACAGCCTCCATTTCTTCACGTGAACGATCAATGATATGTGTGTGTGTGTATGCTGTATACTGTGTGTGTGTGTATGCTGTATACTGTGTGTGTGTGTATGCTGTATACTG